TGTCAAGACAGAGTCAAGAAGACCGGAGACGAGGGAGGCCGCAGGTGGATGGCTCAGACGGATCCTCACCTTGGCGTTCCATCACACCCCCTGGTCCGCGCAACAAATAACCAGAATTTCAACCAACACAACCGAGATTGGAGGCTGGCACGGCCGAAGCCGTACCTAGGCGTGACGCCAACGCCTGACTCGAAACCCACACTGTGGTGGGAGTGCCATAAAGGCCACGTTAAGAAGGAGCCATTGCAGCCTGACTCTCAGACCCCCACCAGTCGAGGAGGAGGTCCAAGTGATCCCGTCAGTTGGCAACCTTCCAAGCCACGGCTTTTAGCGCACCGTGATAGCTTTAAGCGTGTCAGATTGTTTATAGTGAGGAGTAAATGCGCTGAGTCGTCGACCTCACTCTCCCTTCCCATCCCCACATCCCAGCCGCTGTTCGAGGCGGTCAGTAGACTGGAGTGGGGAATGGGCGCGGTGGTTGGCACGGTCGACTGACCATGACTGCGCGCGCCACAGCACGACCTGGTTCCCCATACACACAGCCCACCAGTCCGCCACTCCACACAACACACACACACACACAACGCGATGAACTGCGTGAGCCGAGTGCGGACGTCGATCAGCAACCTTCCTATCCACGACGCTTGACGTGTCGGGATAGGCTCGGACTCAAGTCACCCGTGCAGCCGAAGCCGCGTGGGGACCGAGTCGAGATGCGGACTTCCCACTTGCGTGGAAGGTGGCAGTTGGGTGCATGCGGTGGGTGAATGTTGATATATGATGGTGAGGTGGAGGAAGGTAGGGAGGGTGTGGATGTGTGGTGTGATCGGCGGTTGTCTACCGCAGGTCATTGTGGATGCGCATGTGGCCGAATAGACCCATGCGATGCGTGAAGGTGCGAGGGCAGTGTGGGCAGTGGAGGCGAGTGCGGTGAGTGTAGGTTGGTGCTCCAGGCACTGGTTCGCCAGTCTCTGTGCGATGGATTCGCAAGTGACCGACCAGGCCGATGTGTGAGGTGAAGGTGCGGTCACAGTGAGGGCAGGTGTAGTCCTGATCCTCATCGCTGGAGTCGGGGGAGGTGGGGGTGGTGTCGGTTGTTGTGCCGGGGTTGGTGATGTGCGAGACGGCCGCCTGAGCGGCCGCCGTTGGGGCAGTGGTGGTGGTGGTGGAGGAGGAGGAGGATGGAAGTGGTGGTTCAGAAGAATTGTCAGAGTTAGTTGGCGGCGGAGAGGATGAGGAAGAGGCGGGCGGGGGGACGATGGTTGACGCACTTCGAGAGGCGCAGTTGATCCGAAGATGTCCAACAAATCCGATTCGAGCACGGAATGTCCGTTGACATCGAGGACACGTTGGAAGCGGTTGTGCGGCGGTGTTGCGTACTGGACGAAGTTGTGATTTGCGGGCTTCGCGTTTCACTTTGGTGGCAGCGATGCGGTTGGCTTTGTAGATCGCAGCGCCTGTCTTCACTGCCCTCCTCCAGGTCGGTCGATCGTGTGCGAGCTCTTCCCAGTTCGTCGGGCTGACTTGTAGATGCTTCAGGGAGGACTTCAGGGTATCTCTGTAACGGCGAATCTGGCCTCCTTGACGGCGAGAACCCGTCGCGACGTCTCCGTAGAAGAGTCGTTTGGGTAGTCGTTCGTCGTCCATGCGCACCAGGTGGCCGCTCCAGCGCAGTTGCATTTGTCTCAGCATGGTGTAGATGCTGAGGATTCCCGTCCGTTCCAGCACATCAGTGTCGGGGATTCGATCCTGCCAGTTCAGCCTCAGGATGCGACGAAGACAACTGAGGTGGAAGTGGTTCAGACGGCGTGCCTGTTTTGTGTACACCGTCCAGGTTTCCGCTCCGTACAGCAGCGTCGGAAGGATGACGGCCTTGTACATCTTCAGCTTCGTGCTCATTTGAAGACCGTGACGATTCCAAACTGTGTTTGGAGGCAACCGAAGGCTTGACTGGCTTTCGAGATCCTGTTGGCGACTTCGTCATCGATCTTGGTGTTGTGGGAGAGGGTACTGCAAAGATACGGGAAGTTCTCCACCACTTGCAGTTGGGTTCCGTTCACGCTGATTTGCGGCGCGTTGGGGGCTGTGACTGAGTTGGGTGGCGGTTGATGCATCACCACCGTCTTCTGCGTGTTGATGACCAGACCGAAGTTCTCCCAGGCGGCGGAGAATAGGTCCATGCTCCGTTGCATCTCCTCTTCCGAGGTGGTGTTCAGGGCGCAGTCGTCGGCGAAGAGGAGTTCGTGCACGGTGGCTGTGGATACACGCGATTGGAAGTTCATGCGCCGTTGATTCAGGAGATGACCGTCCGTCCTGTAGGCGATGCGGATCCCGGGGCGTTCGTCGCGGTAGGCGTCCATCAGCATGGCAGAAAACATAAGACTGAAGAGGGTAGGCGCCAGTACGCAGCCCTGCTTCACTCCATTGGTCACTGCGAATGCCTCTGAGACAGCTCCGTTGTCCGTGACTCGCGCCATCATACCGTCGTGCAGCTGACGCACCATCTGAGTGAATCGCTCCGGACAGCCGAATTTCTGCATGATCTTCCACAGTCCTTCACGATTCACCGTGCCGAAGGCTTTCGTCAGGCCCACGAAGTTAGAGTACAGGTGGGTCTGCATCTCCTGACACTTCTCCTGAAGTTGGCGGGCGGCAAAGATCATATCCGTGTCCCACGATGACGACGGAAGCCGCATTGGCTTTCCGGCAGAAGGTCCTGTTCCAGATGGTTATTGAGGCGGTTGAGGAGGATTCGTGCGAAGATCTTCCCGGCGATGTTCAGCAGGGAGATTCCGCGGTGATTGTCGCAGACTTGGCGATTCCCTTTGCGCTTGTAGAGATGCACGATGGTTGCGTCTTTGAAATCTTGCGGGACTTCATCTTGACGCCACATCTCTTGGAGGAGCGCAGTCAGGCGATCCATCAGTAGGGGACCTCTGAGCTTGCAGACCTCAGCAGGGATAGCGTTCGATCCGGGTGCTTTCCCGCTGGAGAGCTGCTGCACGGCCCTGATGGTTTCCTGGAGAGATGGCGGGAGGTCGAGGTCCACGTTGGTCTCCACTTGCGGTAGACGGGCAATGGCGGCATCGAAGATGACGGAGGGGCGGTTGAGGACGCCTCGGAAATGCTCGGCCCATCGCTGTAGGATTTGCGTCTTCTCAGTCAGGAGAGTGTTGCCGTCGGCGCTGAGGAGAGGAGCAGTGCCCTTCGTCGGCGGACCGTAGACAGCTTTGATCGCTGAGAAGAAGTTCTTCCATTCGTTGCGGTCCGCGTAGCCTTGGATCTCCTCAGCTTTGCGAGCAGTCCAGGCGTCCTGCATCTCGCGCAGACGTTGCTGAAGTTGGCGGCGACTACGGTAGAAGGCAGCTTTGTTGTCCTCAGCGGGGTGATCTACGTAGGCTTTGTGTAGGCGGTTCTTCTCAGTTAGCAGATTCCTGATGGCGGCGTCGTTGTCGTCGAACCAGTCCTGGTGTTGACGGTGAGCGCGACCGAGGACGGCGAGCGCCGTCGACTGGACCGTGTCTCGCACTTGACACCAGCGGTTCTCCACGGAGGCGTTCTCGGCAGCGGCGGCGTCGTCGGCGGCGGCAGCGATATGAAGGTTGTCTAGCCGTTGAGCTAGCTCACTGCTGAAATGAAGACGGTGAGCAGGCAAAGACAACAAAGCAACATTCAGCTTACCTGGGGGTCGCTTACCTTGTGGTCTCCTGCGAGGCTGTAGGCGAATACGCATCTTCGAGATGACGAGGCGATGGTCGGTCCACCCGTCAGCACCCGCGATCGCCTTCGTCACCAGCACGTTCCGCTGATCTCGCCTCCGGACGAGGACATAGTCCAGCAGGTGCCACTGGCGCGACCGAGGATGCCTCCAGGTGGCCATCTCTCGCTCCGGCAGACAGAAGAATGTGTTCTTCAGGATGAGGCGGTGTACTGCGCAGGTGCGGAGAAGCAGCAGACCATTGTCGTTGGAGCCGCGGAGACCGTGGGGACCCAGCACTCCTCTCCAGGCAGTATGGTCTGTGCCGACGCGGGCGTTGAAGTCACCAAGGACAATCAACTTGTCCGCCTTCGACACAGTCGCCAAGAGGGCGTGCAGATCCTCGTAGAATTTGTCTCTGACGGCGTCGGGGTTAGTCATCGTCGGAGTGTAGGCGCTGATAATGGTGGCGAATTTGCCTCCTCGCCGGAGAGGCAGGCGGTGGCTCATCAGGCGATCGTTGATGCCCTGCGGCAAACAGGGCAGTCGTCCCACGATGTCGTTCCGAATGGCGAAGGCGACACCCGCGTCCCGTCGCTCTGCCCTGGGTCGACCGCTCCAGAAGAAGGTGTAGCCGGCACCCACCTCCTCCAGTTGGCCTTGTTCGGAGAAACGGGTCTCGCTGAGTGCGGCGATGTCCACCTTGTAGCGCGCCAGTTCTCGTGCCACTAGCGCCGTCTTCCGTTCCGGTCGGTTGCTCCTCGGATTGTCTAAAAGGGAACGAACATTCCAGGCTGCCAGAGTGAGCGGGCTCACCCTGCCAGTCTGGTGACAACGAGTGGGGCGACGGGAAGGAGATGGAGAAGAAGGTGACGAAGGAGAGGAATAAGAAGAAGAATAGGCAGAGGAAGAGGAAGAAGAGGTAGGATGAGGAGAATGAGTATGGTTGTTGTTGTTTCGATTTTGATTGTTTCGACCATGATAAGACGTCTGCGGCCCTGGCTAGCCTGGAGACGGCGTGGTGCCCAGCAATGTTTAGGCCACCTTTTCTAGGCCCTTCCTCCCGTTGGGGGCTGGCAGTGCTGCCATGTGCCGTTGTGGCACGGCCGAACTCCACTATGGGACCACGACTTCGGGTTGTAG